AGACTGCCACCGCAAGCTCGGTTTGATCAGCTGCCAGGGAGGGGACCTGCACAAAGTGTGAACGGATGCAGGCAGTGTATCACCCACCTGCGCGTGTGTCTATGTGTGCATAGGAATGCGGGCGTGCGTGCGTGTGTGCGTGCGTGCGTGTTTAAAAGCGGCTGTGAGGTTGGTCAGTGGAGCGGCACCTTATGCAAGTGCGTCGTCCCTGTGTACTAACCAATCAGGCCAGTGCTGGAGGAATGAGAGCACCCCGTATCGCAATCAATGGCAGTGAGGTTGCCTGATCGTCGGCGAGGCTCCCCAGCCAACGTCATGTTTGAGCGACCGAAAGACGCACCGCATCAGTAGGATCCAGGAGCGCAGCTGCACTTCCACGGGCCTTGCTACTGCTGGTGGCGATTGCAGCCGCGGCCGACTCAATCATTCCTATCAAGTTGTTGAATCCCACAGCCTTGGATGGCCGAGCAACATCTGTGGGGAAAAGTTGTTAGCGCACATTGGTTTGGGGGTCGTTTGGTGGAAAGGCGCTGAGTGTGGCGTCACCAGGACGACGGTTGCGCCACTCGAGGGATGGCACAGCGGGCACACATGTGCTGCTCTATTCCACTCTTGAAGAGCCGCGAATCAGCGCTTCATGCTACACAAGGATTTCCGCGACCAGGCGCGGGCGACATCGACGCCAACGCTTATCCCCGCAGCGGAGCTAGCTCAGGCAACGCTTGCTCGCCCGCGCGAAATGTTCACCTTGAGCATTGCATGTGGCGAAAGCGAGGGCTGCCAGAAGAAGGCACGCCGCGTGGACGATGCGAGCCATTGGTCGGACGATCGGCCCAAAAATGCGGGTGACCGTTTGCCGCTTTGGTTGCAAATGGTTGTAATAACCTGTCGATACTCAATGGAACAGCCGCGCAGGCGTGATGTGGTTCCCCTGAACTGACCTTCTCACTGGAGGGGCCAGGTGCTTACTACTAATGTTAACCCAGGCTGCAGCTGTGCAGCGCGGGCAGGAGTGCGGGCTGGTGCCCTGACAAATGATATTTGCCCGACCATACGCACCTGACGAGCGCGCCGCGGTCGCATAGGGCTTTGCAGCAGCAAGAAGGGTGCCGCCCATGCGCGCCGGCTGCGCCACTCGAGTGACTGTTCTGTCAGCCACTCATTCCATCCGGCATCCGGCACATACAGCCCCCTGACCGGCCCGTGGGCGGTAGCTAACGCCAGGCCTAGGCAGTAACAGCGTTCATCAAGTGGCCGCACCTGTTCCAGAGGGCAGGCTTGCAGGCTGGCCACCCGAGCCTAACAGAACAATCTGCTGATGTTGCAGCAGCTGATTGAGCAGCAGCCATTGTAGTTGCCAACCTTCTCTCGTATTGTTGCTCCACTCTCGCCAGCGCCTGCATTAGTGGAACACCTACCTCCCCAACAGCAGCCCTAACAACCGCCCAAACCACCTGCCAGCCCCATGTGCGGCCGCGGGTGCACCGCAGCGCGCCCTGAAAGCCGAATTGGACCAAAGCGGAGCCATCCTGCCGTGTTTTCATGTGTGTTGAAGGCATACGCTGCCTCGAAATGGTGGACCCACGCGATTCTGCTTTGCAGGGGGGGAGGGCGCACGAGCGCAGCCCCTCGCTCCCCCCATGCCCGAGCCCGTGCACTCTCGCCTGCGCCGGAATCGGCCGTAAACAATGCACGCCACCATTGTGGAGCACCTGTTTCAGCTCCCTTTCATGCCCCTCTCCCCCAGCCCCAAACAAACAAACCAACACAACAGAAACAGATACGGACTCGCCCCCCACACCAAAAACACGGCTGTCGGCGCGGGGCCGGAAAGGAGGGTCGCGGCCAGTCAACAACGGTCAGTAATCCTCGGGGTCCTCCCAGTCGTCCTCCTGCAGCCGCGCCAGCCGCCGCAGGTACGAATCCGTGAGGTACGCACGCGCCGAGCCGCCGACGCCGGCCGCCGCCGCGATGGCGCCGTCGAGCGCCCCCTCTCCCCCCGCCGCGAGCCCCAGCGCGTGCTTCAGCGCCGCCTCCGCCGCCGCGCGCAGCGGCGCCGGCGGGTCCCGCTGCAGCAGCGACGCGGCGCAGGGCAGCAGCGCGGGCAGGTGCGGCGCGAGGGCCGCGGGGCCGCGGGCGCGCGCGAGGCGGCGCAGCGCGACGAGGGCCTGGCGCTGGACCTCCGCGCCCTGGTCCGGCCCCAGCAGCGCCTGCATCACGCCGCCCAGCGCCGCCGCGGCCGCCTTTGACGCCGCCGGGTCCAGATTGGCAGAAGCGTCGTCGTCGCCGGCGGGGGAGAGAGTGAAGTCGGCCAGCCGCGCGACCGCGCGCCCCGCGGCGACGCGGCAGTCGTGCAG